GTGTTTTAATTGTTATTTCTAACAAAATACCTTATGTAATTCAAAATGGTTGAGAGAGAGAGAGAGAGAGAAGTGTGAGTGAGATTACTGGTTGTATAATAATTAATATGCATCATATTTAATGTACTTTTAGGTGTAATACATTGCAGTTACGAAGAGGACGAGTTGAAAGTGGATAAAATGGCGCCAAAGTATGAGAGGTTAGGGAATGGCGTCGAATGTCCTGAAAAAGTGGAGCTAATTTTGGAAAAATGCAAAGAAATGGGCACAACTAATGACACGAATGGCAGATTGTAAGTAGTAGCCATATTTAAATAAATTTTTATTTATATACGCTATTTAATTTATTATGTAATTAAATTTTGAATTTAATTATAATACGTATAGGGTGGATAACTATTTAAGTGAACATTTTTTTATTTTGGGTTTGTGTCACTTAGGAATTGTAGACATTTATAAATAAAAATACAAACAGATTTTAGTTAAAATTATTCAAAAAATCATTAGCAAACAATTATTTTTCTTTTATATTTTAATGATAAATTATGATAAGTTGGCATTAATTATAATAATTTATATTATATAACTAATATAGTGAAACTTCTCTTGGGTGAACTTCTCTTGGACCTCCTCATAATGAACGGTTTTGAAATGTACATTGGATTTCCTATACTTATAATGTTAAAATACCCTCTCTTGGGTGAACTTCTCCATAATGAATACCTCCCCATTATGAACGGATTTATAGAGATTTAGATAAAACTTTCACTCCCAATAATGAACAAATGTAATAATAAGCACATCATTCCTAAAAGTATTCAAAATAGTTTCTAATCTAAGACTTTAAGCAAACAAAACACACATTTTTATATAAAGTTTCATTCAATATTGTAAGAAATGTGTATTCATTCTTTGATTAGTGAACTATAAATTATTACTTTATATCTAGAGATGCATCCAATGCTCAAACATTTAAACAATTGGTCAAAATTAACATTAAAGCATATAATTATCACTTTATTACTATTAAACAAACTAAAATTACTTATTATTTAAAATAATTGTACTTATTAATAAATAATTTCAAATATTAATCAAAAATTAGACGATTTTACTCGAACCTCCCTTGGATGAACCCTTCCTATAATGAACACTTTTGTCGTGCAACTGGCCGTTCACTATAGAGAAGTTGCACTGTATTATATAATTTATATTATAAGTTATTATATTAAAAAGATTAAATTATTATAATAAATAATATTCTTGATAAAACTAATAAACATAATATATAATTAGTATTTTATCTGTTTTAATTGTCACAAAATAGATTTTAGTTTAATTATTCATTATATTACTATGAACATTGAAAATACACAATAATTAATAATAATAATTATTATTGTAACAATTAACTAATTGATCATGTTTCAAAACACCCAGGTTGTGGGATGTATTGGACAGCTTTAAATATATCGGTTACCAAAAACCAATAATCCGTGACGTGATTATGGAGAGCCCTAGTATTTCGAACTACGAGAAAGTTAATAACTACTGCAAACTGGCCAATAACACCATGTTGACATATTGCGCTATACTCAATTCGAAAGTGATCGAGTCGAAAAAACTACGAGATCGTGTTCTTGGTTATCTAACCAATGCTGCCAGCCAAACTAAAGTTAACTTGGGCGAAGCACTATGGTATGTTTGTATTTATATCTATTTATATGTATAAGTTAAAAGTATAAATCTTAAACAATGTCATTTATATCCCAAAGTACAACATTTATTTTATGATAAATTTAATTATGTTTTTATTAGATATTATATTTATGTCAGATTAGTATTACATTAGCATACACTTTAAATTGTTATATGTTGTTTGAAGAAATTCTAAATAAATGCTTAACCTCATCCTACCCCACCCCGCTCTATGAGATTTAACATGGGATTCCAGTTTGATGTTATGGTTATATTTTAACATGTGTTAATATTCAGTCTATGGCATATGATTAACATTGAGTTATATCAAATCTTATCCTATGTAATCCTCTAATGATAATCCTATGGAAAATAGTTACAATTAAGTATTACAGCTAAAGTCAATGACATTAAGATTAACATTGTCAATGCAAGTCTACAGATAATGCTAATATATTGTTTAAGCATTGCCCGAATTGTGGTTAAGGGTCGTTCGCATATTACGTTCACACTTTGGGGAGGGGATGGAGTGGACCAAAGCAAACTTTTGCTAACAAAAAGGGGGGATGACGGGTGTTGATACATTAAGAACGTGTGCATTAAAATAATTTAATAACATTGATTAATTTTTATTTAAGTTAATCATTTGATTAAAAATCTATATTATTAAAAATATTCGAACATAATTTGCGAATCACCCTTTTAACATTGCTATGTGTATGTGTGATAATTGTTAAATAAAATAATTAACCTAGTGTTGAATACATATAAACAGTATTATGAAGAAATTCTGGGAGGATGTGCTGAATATGCACGAAGACAAAGATGGATTCAGAGAGTCCACTCGCGAACGTATCTCAACCTTTCCCTCAATCGTGACCAGAGCTGAGGAACATTTCGGTGTGAAAGCGGACGACAAATGCGAACTCGGCGAGAAGTACCCTGATACGAAATACAAATCAATTACCGTGTCGCTTGTTAAAGTATTTGTCAAGTACGCGGACTTTGCGCTATAATTACTGTTACAGCAACTATAACTGTTTTAATTGTTGTGTGCATTTAATGTATACATAATTATTATCATGTAATAAGCTGTAATTTTTTTTATTAATAATTGTTGAAATAAATGAATTTTTGACTTCTTATAATTTTGTGATTAGTATTATGTGAAATTAATTTAATTGTTTATTAATTTAATCAACAAATGAAATTAAATTTCTTAAATATACTTAAATATATTTTATAGCAATTTTGGTAGAGATTAGTTTTTTAATTAACATTTATAACTAAATTACAAATAATAATAAAGTTACTTTACAAACTTTTATGTAATTATTTATAAAATTTTTAACTACTATTCTGATATGAATAATGTGGTTTATAGGATCGTTCGACTACCCCCTCCACCCTCCGGCCCCCACCCTATGGGATTTAACATGGGATTACAGCTTAAGTTGATGGCTATACTTTAGCATGGGATTCTTAAGTCTATGGGGAATTAACATGGGATTACAGTATAAGTCTATGGCTATACTTCGACATGGGTAATGCTAAATAAAGCAATTAATGAGATATTCAAAATTGTTAAAATTTTTAACCTTATTTTAATAAGTATGTTAAAATTACTAAAGGTAAATAGGACAAAGTATAGTTTTTTCTAGCTACTCCAAAGGATTTGGTTTTAGATGTCAAACAAGATTACCCAATAAAAAGAAAGTTGTAGTTAATTGAAGGCAAACTAATGCTAATATGTATAGTATTTGTTGGATATTTTGTTGTAAAAATTAAATTAAGTTAGTTCTAATTTTAATTAATTAATATAATTATAAAATCTGGTACCAAACATAACATATTTTATTCAATCTTGAATTAGAACTCTTAAATCTCAACCATTTTGAATTAAATAAGTTATTTTGTTAGAAATAACAAGTAAATCAATAATAATAAAGCTGTTTATTGTGTTGGCAGTAATTGGTATGTAAATTGATTTATAAATATTTATATTTTAATTTAATAATTAATAGCATTTAAATTTATTCTATGAAATTGTGAGAGAGAGAGAGAGAGAGAGAGAGAGAGATAAGTGAGTGAAACTATTGTTATGTTACTATAATATGTATTATAATGATTATTATATTTTTAGGTGTAATAAATTGCACGTATGAATAGGAAGAGTTGAGTGTCGATAAAATGACGCCAAAGTATAAGAGGTTAGGCAATGGCGTCGAATGTCCGGAAAAGGTAGAGCTAATTATGGAGAAATGCAAAGACTTGGGTTCAACTAATGATACAAATGGCAAATTGTGAGTACTATTGATATTGTATTGAAATAAATTTAAGTCATATATTCTATTAAATTATTCTGTAATAAATTTTAAATTACATTTTAAAAATTTTGAATTACATTGTAATACATATACAATGTAGGTTGACCAACTACTGTATTTAAGTGAACATATTTTAGGTTTGTGTCAATAGAATAGAAGACATTTTAAATAGAAATATAAACAAATTTAAGTTAAAATTATACAAAATATTGTTAGTTTTGAACAGCTTCGGGTCCAAACCTAAACCTTCCATAGCCGTGGAATCGCTTCTTTAGCACCTGTCGGTCACTCTATTCTTCATTCATACACTCTTTCACTCAATAAATAATAGACATCTCCTTTAATTAAACACTATTTTATTGAAGAACTTTATAGACAAGTGCTCAGTGCGAAGCTCTAAGCGATTCTGTCTAAGAATAGCTATTATTCTTTATTTAAAGGGTTAGAGAATTGACGTCAATTGGCATACATATCTTTTTAAGGACCGGTATGCTGTCTTGACGCATGGATTAATCTTATCCTAGTATCCTATAAATAATACGCGGTTTAAGCAAACCTAACATCGGCCTCCTGACACCTGCGGTCGTCCTCGGCCGCCGATTACATAGTGGTAAAAGTTATCTAACTATTAAAGCTTAATTACAAGGGTATATGTACTTGCATGATTTATATAATTTAACATCAAATTTTGAACTACTTATTTACTAGCAAATTAAATAAACAAATTATTATTATTTATTAATCTTGAATTATTATTTTGTTTTGTCCAAAAACTGGTCAATTCAACAACAACTGATTACTCAGTGTGGGCGCCCATCATTGAAGTGACGAGGGTTCGGACTCCGTTTCTTTGCAATTTTTTGCAACTTTCATTTTCATATTATAAGACCATGGCTATTTATTCTTTATCAGAGCCTTTATGTGAAATCACAAATCTCAGCGCATAAATAATTTCATAACTCGTGCGCACCGGCTAATGTCCCCAGTGGAATGTGTGGTTTGAACCGATCTCCAGAGTGGGTACTCTTGGGAACAATAGTCTTAATGCTGTCGCCTTGTCTTCCCTGCACTGGTTGGTGAAGAACTCGTGAACTAGCGCTGCGGTTCCAGCGGCCAGAGTACCTGTTCACTCCCTTCGACTGATACCCAATCTGTCGAAGCCATGAAGTGACGAGACCTTCTGAGTGAACACGGCCTTCAATATAACTCTCTCCCTAAAGCGCGCTATATCTTTAGGGCACGTGACTCCCGGAGACACGAGAATTATACCCGTTACTTAGTTATCAATTGTCGCCTCCAATTGACTAGCAAGTGGGCTCGATTCTTGCTAAAGTATTCCAAATATTATTGCTATCTTATTTAACTTTAATTATTTCTTATCTCATATATAATTATTTATTAATTTGGCCTTTGAATTCTTGTTTTATCTTAATTACTTATTAAGTAATAGAATTGTTTTTATCGAATGAATTGTATTTTGTGATCGATGTGTTCATAAAAGTGTTTTTTAAAAGTTGTATTAAAAATCGCATAAAATAAATTAGAGATAAGAGTCGTTAATAGTAGTCGTCGGTAGAGAATCAGAAGAAATATTTTGTGTGAATAGACAGAGAGATAGAGAAAACACAAATAAAATACTGATATCGATATTCAAAGAGAGTTGACACTTTGGGACAACTTTTTCTTTGATATCCGATAGACATCAGTTTACTTATGTGCGCGTATATCGAGTACACCCTCTCCTGCGGGTCACTGATTGCTGAACTCTACAGGAAGTCGTCGTAGAGCTCGTAAGTCATCAGCTGTTCGGCCATCGCTCGAAAGAAGGACTTGAGGGCCGCCGAAAGCACGTGAATCGAGTACGAGTCCAGGTCTACGTCCAGTCGTTTGGCCTCCAGTTGTTTCTTCAATTCGGTGATTTTGGATGTCGTGCCAGACTTGCGATACAGACCCTCAGTGTATAGACCCTTATCCTCAATGGTAGTGATCAGGTGCTCCACTATTGGTGGTATCCGTTTCTCGTCGGTCACCCATTCGGACAGTACAGCGCCGAACACTAGTGGACGACCACCTCGTGGACTGTCGCGTTGTGTCAACTCATGCATACGACACATGGCAGTCAGTTTAGTGGCGCACTTCTTATGACAGGCCGTATTGCAGAGACGACAAACCCATGTGCGCTCCATCAGCCACATCAGCGATGAGCACACTTCACACACTGTCGGAATGTTGGCCATTGATAACAAGAAATTATGGCCACAGATTTTATAGGCTTCTCCGCCGTCAATGTTATTGTTTTTGTATGCGTTGTCAGCGCCCGACATGACAAACGTGTCGCTCTTACTCTTCTCTATGTGCTTCTCTCCCTTCAACTCCATTTGTTTTTGTTTTTATTAATCCAAATATCCTCTGAAAGCGTTGACACCCATTATTACAGGGAATGATTTCCAAGTGTTTTCCTTCTGACAAATATTTCGAATCACCTGTTCAAAGTGGTCGATGTCGTTCTTGTAGGTGAGCTTAAGGTATCCGTCCTGTGCGGTCACCGAATAAGTAGAGATTAAATTGGAGCGAAACTCTTTGAGAGCCAGTTTGAACTCCACATCAACCGTCGACTCTTTATGGGAGCGTCGCTTCTCTTCGTCTATTTTGTACACTTTCTTCAATATAAATGCGTCCATTATTTGCAATTCGTCGCAATCGGTAATCAATATATCACTTGGATCAACAAATTCGGCCATTCGGGTCACGAGCTATCCTAACCTGATCCAGTGCTCGAGTGGTTGTCCCGCACTGATTGCTATCGGCAATCGTTTGCCTGTAAGTTTATGTTTGAACCCGAGTTCTCATTCGCCGACAACTTTTGCCAATTCTTATCCCTCTTTCGGTTCTTAGATCGCGGGGGTCTCGAGGGGTTCGCATTGCTGACGGGCGCTAACATTATAGACGATGAGATTCATCACAATTAACACCGGCACCGGTCGGCAGACCCTTAGAAGACATGGCGTTCTTACAAACAGCGGACAACTCCCGATCGGAATTGGGTTTGCGATCGTATTGAGTAGCCATTTATTAGAAAGAAGACACGCTGTGGTGGAGGCGGCGGTGCGATTGGTTCCAATGACTTGGACGGACGCTTAATGGGCGCCGAGCGTTGACTAGACAAGCAGAACAGTGACACTTCTTCGGATCCCGAATCGTAACAAAAAGTGGTTTGCATAACTTGTGGTTTGAGCTGACTTTTGGCCGACTTATCAGAAGAACTTTTGCCGATAAAAGTCTTGAGCGTCTTCTTTGCCTTTTGAAGGGCACCGACACTATCGCCCAGTGATAAGGGCTTCACTTGTAAGGGCGCGGATAGAGATGTTTGCGATGATGGCAATTGCGATGATACACCTATTTTAGATAGTTTCGCCTCTTTGACAACATTCATGGGCTCTAAGGGCTCAACAAAGTCCTGTAATCTTTGCCTCTGTGCTGACACCAGAGCAGATGAATCGCTGGATATTTTGGTAAACTGTCGGTGATCTCTAAGAGTTTACGTGTTTTGTTGGACTCATATCATGTGTTGCAGGCGTGCGATCATCAGTCACTGATTTGCTTGATTTAGAATTTTTAAGAGACAACTTCCTGACCACCCGGTTTCGACGCCTATCGAGTCGTGATTTGCCTTCTAATTCGCGTTCATAGTTATCACCAAAAGTTCCGACTCGTCGTCGTCGTCGTCGTCCACTTCAAATCTCTGTAGCGGCCGATCGGTGGACAAGCGTTTGTGCCGCAGAACCGTTGGCAATCGATCAGCGCTAACGGATGGTAACTAGATCTAGATCTGAATCGTCAATATCTTCGTGAATACCAGACATACAGGTCTTCGGACTCTTTGCCACTTGTTCAGTGAATACCGTTTGATAAGGTGTTGGCCGTCTGTAGACATCGAGGTGTGGCAGTGATGATGACTGAGTATTGCTTTTAATGGGTGTTGAATCCAATAACTTTTTCTGTTAAAATCCCTTTAACCCTAGAAGCTTAAACTGGGTGATTAGTCTCTCATTTGCACTTTGAATTTCAATTATACATCAACGCAGAGTGTTCGTTTGAATAGCATGATTGAAACTCGATCGGTATTTGAGAATCACTGGAAAACTGAAGCGATTGCACAGACAATTGTTTGGCTGAGCATTGATTGCGAGTGAAATTTAAAGTAGTCAGCAATTAAATAATTTTTTAGTCATAACTAAACTGTCATCCATTAAATGGATTGGCTTGTTATTGCAATTACAAACCTACAGAAACTATTCTTCTGGAGTTTAAATCTATGTTTCTGTGGTTTCTTCACTGTATATATAAATTATATTTTAAATCATAAATAGTGGTTGGCAATAATTTATTATTATAGTAAAAATGTTAAGTTTAAATATAACTATGAGTGTTATATAAGTGTCAATTTCTATGGCTAAATATTAATTAGTGAAAAAAATTAATAAAAATTTTAATTAATTTTTGAACATGTTGAAATAGTTATGTCCACTATTGCAGTTAATTTACACATTATACAACATTTTAAATTTTATAAATAAATAATACAAACATTTTAGATATTAATTTACTATAAACATTAAAAATACATAATAATTGTTATTATAACAATTAACTAATTGACCATTTTTCAAACCACCTAGGTTTTGGGATATATTGCACGGCATGAAATATGTCGGTTACCTAAAACCCATTCTCCGTGACGTGATTTTGGAGAGCCCTAGTATTTCGTTCTACGAGAAAGTTAATAACTACTGCAAACTGGCCAATGACACCATGTTGAAATACTGCTCAATACTCAACTCTAAAGTGGTCGAATCGAAAAAACTACGCGATCGTGTTCTGGGATATCTAACTGATGCTGCCAACCAAACTAAAGTTAACTTGGGCGAAGTACTCTGGTATGTTTAAATCTATTTATATTTGAATGTATAGATTATAAGT